ACAGTACAGTATTTTATTGTTTATCTTTTAACTCCTTGCTATAATGTTATTCTTATACATTTGTCTAAGGTCCACCTTTGTGTGACCAGTTTTTCTATCATGTTTTTGTAAACACCAGGATTTCCCCATTGTGAGACAATAAAGAGATTTTTCTATTCTGTTCTATAAATATCATATTACTGCTCTGTTTTTTTAGAAGAGCCTTAGCTGGATTTACTCTAAAATAGGAATGGAATGAGACTACCATTTGTTCTAGATACAGATAGGAGTTTGGACCTAAAAAAAATGAAATTATAGAGCTTTAACTTCTCATTTACTGCACAAAAGTATAGAACGCCTTGTGCGTGACTAAACTTCATAGAAGGTATCAGTCTCTAATCTTATCCAGGACACTTAAAGAGGTGGATTTATCAACAGAGCATCATAGAAAAGGCATTATAAATAAATAAAACAATAAAACACATCTGTGTCATCTGCTAAATATAGAAACGATAACCTTTATGTTTAATAATGCTTCATGATGTTTTTGTTGCTTATAATGTCTGAGTTGGTAATTTAGCGGTTGTTTTACGCATAAAATCTTTCAATTTTACAAAATTCAAAGTCCCTTTAATTTCTTTCACATAGAGCTTGCACACAGATTGTGCAACAGGTTCAATAGAGACTAAAGTTAGCTTTAGTGGAAGACCATAAGATTACAACTCTGGAAAATTATAACGTCTAAACAATTGCTCTACAAGGAAAGGCATTGCATAAAAAGCTATTTACTGCAGTGAGCCTTTGGCTGCTCCCCACGGACAGAAATATGCACCGCTGATAAACTGCTTTGTTCTGTCTCAATTACAAAACAATCCAACATTTGTCTTCTTGCTACAGAAAGCATACAGTATTTTCTTTATCTGCAACTCGTCAGCCTAGATCACATAAAGAGTAGAGAGAAGCGATTACTTCAAATCAGCGAGAGGAGATTGTGCTGTGTGTTTGTCAAAGAAAAGATCTTCTACTTCCAGGACCATTAGGAAAAATCTGTCAAATGTTCAATCAAATCAAAAGGGAACAAAAAGCAATTCAGCACAAAAGCAATCAAAGGTAAATTTCCTTCACTTTGATCAAAAAAAGCCCATTATCTATGTTCTCTATCCTAAACAATGTTACAATGCCCTTTTAGATCCAACTGTGAGGAAACCTTCCACTTTCATAATCAACTCTACACATCATGTATTACCCCTCTCCCTCTTGGTTATATTTTTTTATTTAGATTTGAATAAATTCCTTGAAAAAAACTGTTTAAACAATGTAACGTTCAACTTATATGAAACCATGTAGTATGGCTGCTCCAACCAGATTGTACTCTCCTGAAGATAAGGGAGTAAAGACATTCTCAAGAACAAAACAGCTATTATGGTACTCGTACCCCTAGTGTTCCACGAGTGCATTGCAAGGGGTACAGGAAAATATTTTATTTCTTAGGTAGAAAAATAAAATACGGATGGATCTGTTCTCCTTTACCCAATTAAAAAAAAAACTAACAAGTTTAAATCAACTATAAAGTAAGTTTTTCTTTGAGTTCACCTTCAGCTGTGATGCACATTAAAAACCAAGCAGAGGAACAGACTGGATGAAGAGAGAGAGAGTATCTGTTTTTTTTTCACACTGATCTATCAGAGCTCATCAAAGCAGCCCAGGTTTCTTGATCAAAACAAAGTACAACTAATTAGGTTAGTCTGACTATAACTTTTGTTCTGTATTTTGCTTACAATTCATCCACTTTAAATGTGATTATAAGGGAATTACTCAGAGGAGCTCCAGTTTTATAAATACAGGTTTATAATAGGATTTTATTTTGTATTTATTTTGATTCCTTTCTAACTTCCGGGCAACATATTTATGTTGTTTTTTATTTGCGATGGAAAACATAAAATAAATAAGAATTAAATGCTCATATTAAAAGATTAAGTAAAATAGTTTTAATTTTCAAATCAGTTATTGTACGTTCCACTTTTGGACAATCATAAATACTTTTGGCTGAGAAGGGTACTCATGGTGAAACAATGCCCAAAGGGGTACACAAGTCAAAAAAGCTTTTTGAAACATTGGTCATTGAAACATTGGTCATTGAAACATTGAAACATTTTGAAACATTGGTCTATAGGACCAAAAATTATAAGTGTTGTTAAATGACTGTCGGTAGCAAAAAGGTATTGTTATACATTCAAACAATAACCTTCAAAATATTATAAATAACCATTAACAAAGTATAGGGAATTGTTGCAAAGTTGACAGACAAATGCATTTATATGGGCTTTCTTTAGATCCATTACTTTTATGATGTCACTGACTGATCTCATGAATTTGCCTGCATCATATTATACCTTGAATTGTGTCTGCACCAAATTGGACTCCAATACGGATTGGATCTATTGTGCCTTCAGATGACATACAACCCAGATCCCTGCAACAATAAACTGCATTAGACGGAACTGTTAACCTGTGAAAATGATCTGCCATTTTCAAATCTCTAAAATGTCTTGCCACGGTAAAAAACAATCTTCGTGCATGCCCATAGTGATAATACAAAACAAAGTATGAATCTTTTCATCATAAAGATATGGAGGCATCGGCTGAAGTTCAGCTCAAAACAACCACATCTGAACTCTAAAAGTGTTTTGTTTTTTAAATCACACTGTTTCTACTAGCACAAGGACATTCTGCATATGAGATCTCCAATCAGAGCAAGCTGCCCTAGTTGGATTTGTACGGATTTGCTAATTAAACGAAACCCCAGGAGGATGCAAAGAAGCAAACAGGTCTGCTCGTGTGAGAATGAATTAGAGGGAGAGAGGAAGAGGGCAGCTTTAAGCAGCAGAAAGGAGAATAAAAGCTCAATGACTTGCTGCTGGATCACAATACATCACAGAGAGTTTCACCACATTATGAAAGTGCCTTTATTTGTGTTGAGCTCCTTGATCTCACCACGCCTCTGTTCACTATACCGCTCTGTCATTGAGGATCAGTGGATGCTGACTAAAGAACACAAACAAAGGGCATCTATCAAAGGTGAGGCAGGCGGCATTCGGAATGGATCACAAAGAATTCGCATGATGTCACCTGTAATATCCTCAGAGACACACCATGAAATATTTATGACAACCGCATTAAAATCCCTGATCTGAATTAGATGCAACTGGAAGAGGAGAGAGGAGATGACTTACAGCACAGAGGGAAGACGGGATCCAAAAGCGTAATCCTCCAGCTCAGTTTGTTCTATTTTTCT